CAACCCATAATTGTTATACATCCCTAGCGCCCATACACGCACAAGTTGCATTGAATTATTGGTTGGCTGGGCATGACAAAGAATTTTCTCCGAAGACATGCTGTGATCGAAAGAAGTTTGAGAGCCACTTGTCTAGGGATTACTTTTCCAAAAAGGAGAACTCCTCATTCAGGCAAAGAAAAAAAATCACTCAGCCTTGAAGGAAAGTCCTTCTCGACAGATTTTTGCAATGTGTCACTTCATACATCTAAATAAAGACAGTAGTGGTTTTTAAGAACCTCCTTTAACGAACATGAATCCCTCTAAGCCCTGGATGTTTGCAGGCTAAATGTCACTGCTTGACAGAGGAGAGTCCATGAGCGAGCGGAGAGGCAGCAGACAGCTCAGATTTGTCTGTAATGAAGACGGACTGCAGCAGAAGATTTAAGACACCAGAAGTACAACATTGAAAAAATGACTTCAGAAGAGACAGCTTCCATTTGTTACTGATTTAAATTGAGAGGGTTTCAGTTTCCTACAGTGGGTGCTGCAGTGAATCCGAGCTTGTGTGAGAATATGGAAATATGGAAAAACTCCAGGAACAAAGACTAATTAAACAAGAGCTGAATGACAGTTTTCACCAAGTTACAGATGCTGGTGGATCAGAGGCTAGACTGGACTTGATGTCATGACTTCGACTCTCTGTTCCGTGGCGCTGAGCAGTTGCCGGGCAACCAGAGGAGAATCCAGAAAGTTGCTGCCATACGGCCCAAGAAAATAACATTAACCCTGTAAAAATCTGTTTCACACAAACAAAGACAAGATTTATTTTTTTTTACCTTCGAACTAAGCAAAGTTAGCAGTTTCTTTTTCCAGTCTGTTAAGGCCTGACTTCACCTTCATGTTTAGTGCACCGACTTGCCACCGCAAAGTAAATCGATTTTTATTTCCCTACATGTTTAACTTTTCTTTTAAATCTACACAAACCATCTAGGAGATTATATATTGTTAAGTATTTACGTGATATGAGTAGGAAAAGAGCTTCAAACAATACCATCATGACAACACTTTCATAATTGATGAACCCACGTTGTCTGAGCTAACTTTATGTTCAAAGGTTAAACAAAGAGTTTAGACAGATCAGACTTTGGAAGGGTTAAACCAAGACATGCCGTGAGAAGTTTCTGGCTCTAGCGATGGTGGATTTTATAGCCCAGCTGTGTTGGCTGTGGACAGGGGAGTGCTCCATTCTCTCTCTGGCAGCTGCACATTCAGTCTACACATATAGAAGTGGTTCTTTGTCACAGCTTTCTCCTTTACCTTCCACCTCCAGCTTTGTCACTGCACCTCTCCTGGCTGTCTTTTCTGCCTCCTAAAGTGTCTTAGTTTATATTTATGTCATTGCTGGAATCAGGGCAAGCCTTAAAAATAGCCTGGTGCATTTTATCTTCTGCTGCAGGTGAACCAGGGCTGTGTACTGGAGTTTTTGTCTGAGACTCCAAAAACAGAGCAGGAATATTGGATGTTTATTGGCCAAAATGCTGTAGATTTAACAGACATGCTGGTACTTGAGTGAAAACAGCGATTCTTTAGAACATCTGAGCAAACTGTTGCCTATGTTCACATCCAATAAACCTCAAGCAACATTCAGCAGAGGTCATGTTCTGGACAACCTGATGAATGAAGGTAAAAATAGTCACTCTGCTTTTAGTAACAACACAGTCTGATGGTAGCGTATCAACATGAGGGGCACCTGTCATTACGCATTATTTGATTAATTGCTAAAATATTGTGGGTGTCAATGTTTTAACATATAAGTAGCATTTCAATATTGCAACTGGTCTAGTTAGTTTTTGCTCCCCTACAGCTAATACAGAGTTTCACAAGTTCTCTTTCTTTGCAGGTAAATGTAAAGTACAAAATGCCAGAGACGGCAGAACATTATGAAAAGGTCAAGCTAAAATTTGATTTCAATCTTCCGAGAAGTTGCTGAGTTTGAGTAGAAGCTTTAGAGACTTTGCATAAAATTTAAATCACATGCTAACCCTGATAAGTGTCTGTGACAGCGTTGTCAGAGGAAAGTGTGTCTTGTACTCTTTGCACTACCGTCTTCAGCAGGTGCTGGAAACATCTGTTTCTGTACAGTTTCTCTTGTCAAACAGCTTTCATGCATTGTGCTGTTGTCCGAGACAGGAGTGTTGGTCAGTTCGACCACACCTTTTTGAAAACTAACTACAAGTTGAGAGACCTTTTCTAGTGGAAACTTAAATCAAGTGGGCGAAAAAAAGGCTCTGTTCCTGCAGAAGGCCTAAATATGAGTCTTTATTCTTACTCTTAACACATGTAATCATTGAAAAGTGAACCTACAACAGAATTGACGAGGGACAAAAAGAGTGAATGTTATTTTAAACTCTTGAAGAGCTGTCGCTGCTATTGCAACATTATACGAAACAAGTAATATACTCTGTTTATGCCTGATACTCTGTTTTGTGGATGAACAACCAAATATTGAACAACTACAGGAGAACAGGACAGTAATATGAGAAGGGAGACCACTTTCCAAAGTCGAACAGGCATCTGAGCCCCGGCGTTGCAAAGTACTTGTGCTGATGAAGTTCACATGAACAAAAACAAATCATCTAACATGAAACTAATGTAAAACTCCTCATGGTTATGGACAGTGGTTATTTTTAACATCTTACAGTGGAGTCATGAGCATGTACACTCTTCCTCAACAGCTCATAATCTCTGCTATGTATGAGAATTACTAAGTCCCCCTCTATCTTGTCTATGATCCATTTAAAATAAGATTTCCAGCTGTCGCATATTAAAAAATGTGACCATGGTTTAAATATATACTGGTTATACACTAAAGGAAATCCCTGAACCCTTGACCCTGACCTGGAGGGATATGTGGCTCTGTTGAACTGGCATAGTCAGTGCAAATCAATGCAAAGTTGTTCTCCTTCACCCTATGATTAAACATCCTGACGGGATTGGTCTCTTCCAGGAACATCTTGAGGGCACGATGGGTCACTGAATGGTTTAAAGAAATTGATGTGAATCATTAAATAAAGGAATATCTTTAGGAACAATAGAGCTCCAGAGATGGAAGAATCAATGCTGTTCTGGCAGACTCCTTCCTCAGACACTTTATGCTGGTTTCTTCTTTAATTTGTCCCACATCTGTTGTTGTCACAAACAGGTAGGACACAAATTACTCTGCTTACTGCTATCTAAACAGCCAAGTGTTTGTCCAATTATCTGTGCATCAACTGCACTGCCTCTGGCAAACAAGAAGGAAATGTGCCTCTTTTTAGAAGAGCCTCAGAGTTGAACTGAGAGTCTGTGTTTTCAGAAAATTTGCATGGATTGTATAAAAAGGTGTGTTGGGTGTGTTGTTTATGCAGCACTTATTTACTCATCTCAGTTCTCCAGTGTGTGTCTTTGTGAATGTATTGACAGTGCTGGATGTCACAATATGGTTTTCGGCTTTACGTTAAGGAATCGTTTAACTGTGAGCTGACAGCCTGCATCGGTCTGCAAAACTTGACATTGTATGAGATTTCAATGGCTCTTTCTTTATTTATTAATTATCATTTGGACAGAAGACACAGGCAGTTGCAAAGGGAAAGCTCTTGGTTTCTTACAGAACTGCTTTTTGATGCAGATCAAATTCAACAATTTGCCTGAGGTTTTACCAAAGGGATCCATAAAGTTCTATCTATCTATCTATCTATCTATCTATCTATCTATCTATCTATCTATCTATCTATCTATCTATATCACAGCAATCGTTTCCTTGTTTGTTGTTATTAGAGGCAACACCTCTGAGATTTGGCAAAATCATGTGTTAAACCCTTTTAAAAGTCAAATACAGTACTTATCCTCTTCAATAATTAAAGTAATTTGAATTCACCCTCTGTGACTGTAAACACTTCAGTGCAGCAGTGTTTAGTAGGCAGCTGCATTTGCACAGTTTCAGAATAGCAGGTGAATCCCTCCCAGTGGATACTAAGCACATGATAAGTGTGTAATCAGCTGCAAATCAATTATATTTGTCTGGTACTGAGGAAAATACACTGCAGCACTGATTTACATTTTCAAACTTTGTGCTACTGTGTGTGCAGTTTTTCTTCTTATGTGCAAGACGTTGATTATCTTTTTGTTTTATTTCTAACCTAGAATGTGGAATAAAATCTTCAAAGAAACTAGGAGGTTGTGTGTTCAGTCTATGTAGATTCATGCCTCCCTCTTGTGCACACAGCAGGGCTATTTATCAAAGTTCAGCATGTCTGTGGTGCCAACCAACGTGTGCATGAGACACCGAATATCAAACACTGTCAAGCAGCAGCAGCAGCTCATAAAGACCATTTGTGGTCAAGACATTATCATGTCCATGTAGAGCAAAAGAAGAATCAGGAAGGAGGCAGCAGAGGTCAGGCATTTTTTGTGCTTCTGTGCAGATATTTTTCTACAGCGCGTCTGCAAAAAATGGGTGTGCATGTGTTATAACATAAGCACCAAAAAATGGCACAGAAACATGTGTTCATGCATCTGAAAGTAAGGCATTCAAAAAAGTACTAATGTGCTATCTGAAGTTAGTGTTAGGTGGCCTGCACAGGTTGCACCGACAGTCACACTTCAGCAAAGATGTACAAGCTTTCCTAAAGACAGTTAACAAATTCAGCAAAAATCTAATTAGTGGGAATGAGTCCATCTCCTCTGGAAGCCAGTTTATTGATCTTTTTCTGCTTTACCAAGATGACATATTGATAATATATCTGACTGCACTGACGCAGAGCAGCTCTGGGACTCCAGCAGGGGATGATACCATTAATCTTGACCTGAGATGTCCAACACCTAAGAAGCAACTAATCAGAAGCCTGTGGGCTCGGAGGCCTCAGGACCCTGACCGGACACCTGTAGTGAGGTGAACTCCGTATAGACAGTGTGAGGACTGAGTGAGGGCAGGGACAATAAGAGAACACCGTGGTGGAGGCTGACAGGTCGTCTCTTACCTGGATGAGGCATTGTTATGGTGTCGTTAGTGCTGCTGGAGCCCACGTTGTATATGATCACCGCAGAGGCGTTGTGGTTTGCGGCATTTCGGATTTTCTCTCGGTATGTACAGTTCCCCGCAGCCACCAGCGCCACCCAGGCGGTGTTTTGCGGGACAGGAGGGAACCTGACTCCGGGGTCGCACGCCTGTCGGTCCTGCAGGAGGGCCGGGACCAGCACCAGACCTCTGGCTTCTTTCTTGGGTGAGTGCTCGCCGTACCGACCGCACTCGGTTTTCTCCGTCTTGACCTCCGAAGTGACGGGGTCCAGGTAGGTGATGTTGACAAAAGCCGTGTACCACTCCTCCTTCTCCGCCACCGTGAAGTCCAAACACAGCAAGTGGACGAAGCAAAACGACAGCAGCCACGTCGAGAGAGCCAGACTGCGGCAGGCTCGGATGAGGGACGGGGCCATTGTGAGGCTGTTCGGGGATGGATGAGGAGCTCCGGGTGTCCTCCTCACTGGGAAACCCGCATCCCTCGTAAAACAAAAAAAAAGGAAAAAGAAAAAAAGGCTTAAAAATACATTAAAGCCACATAGTATCCAGGAGCAGCCCTCACAGAGCAGAGTGTTTGGAGTTGGTGTGCTCTGTGCAGAGCACACTGTGAACCTCCTCCTCCACCTCCAGGACAAGACTGTCTGTGTTGTTGTTCATCGTCAGCTGTTCACCGTCCTCCCTCCCGATTGGCTGGCTGCTCGTCGACACGTGACCTAGGCGTGGACAAAATGTCTGTGACGCCTCCCGTCATGTGGAGTAATAATACAGAATACATTTTATCAGGTGGATTCTGGCAAAATCGAATGTTATCTGAAATATTAAGTACAACGATCATTCTTGTTATTTTCATTAGATTTTTTGCGTTATGTCTATAAATAGTGAATAAACAACTGGATTTTATAATGAAATTTTTAAAAAAAATCACAATTGTATTTTGTGTTCAAACAATTATGTGTTTGCTAATTTAGATACTTTTTACTTACTAGAATACATTTTAAAATAGCTGAAACAGGCAGAAGTTCAACTTTGTCTTTGTTGATACCCCAGCCAAGTAAACTGAGCAAAAATTAAAACAAAGCACGCAAACTGTCTTCTTTTCTAAATTACAAAAAAATAAAAAGTTGAATTTAGGTTTTGTTTATTTTAGATATGTACAGTCAAATCAGCAGTATTATCGTGCTTAAAAATAAATATCAGCATCTGCGAAAAATGAACAGTCGCAGTTATTTATTTATTTATTTATTTTAAAATCTTTTAATGTATGCACAGTAATATGCCACGGATAGCTTCCACACAAATATCAAAAGCGTGATCAAAATAACAGACTCCATTCTGTAAATAAAGAAAGACAATAATAGTTTAAAGCTCGAAACAATTTCAGGAAAGTTGTGCAGCCCTTTACAGCCCATAGCCTACTGAAAAGCTACCCAAAAAGAAACTCTATATGTATTTAAGTATTATTACCGACCTAAAAAGAAGATAAATAATGTATTTTACAATACAAAAGTCAGTTGTACCTCAGAAACCCACGTCTGAAACGTGTATTGTTCAAAGTGCATGTAACTGAGTATACTTGAGGAACCTGTGGCTCGGCTGTGTGTTTCAGCGGACACATTTTAGAGACGGACCTGGCATCAGTCGCTGAGCTGATCATTTTGGTAAATATTTTACAAATCATACTCGCAAATTTTAAATGATACTTGTGTGTAACAGTCACCGTGGGTCCTGCTTGAGAGCCTAAGCGTTATATTAAAGCAGCTTAAAATGAAAATGTCATTTCCTTTCCATGTGACTCATCGGTCAGTTTCTCTGCCGCCGCTAACCAACACTTACAGAAACGTGATGAACTTTATTTGTCGCGTGTGTTATTCCTCATTAGGTGGCATGTGTAACTAGTAAGTTGCTTTACTAATTATACTGTTTATTTGTCAGTGACGACAGAAGTGAAATATAAAACTTAACTTGGATTTACCCTTCGATTAGCTTAATTTCTCTCAGGGAAACTAGCTACGTGTCAACGCCGGTAGTTTGTGCTCCGTGTTTTCAGGAAACCAGACCGACTTTTGGCTGAGCAGAAATGCCAAAAAAGAAAACTGGTGCACGGAAAAAGGCCGAGAGCCGTAAAGAGCGAGAAAAACAGATCCGAGCCAACAGGGAACATGTTGATGTGGCTAAACACCCCTGCAACTCCAACATGGTGTGTAGCTGCTTTATATGATGCCTACAACCATAGTACAGCTTTAATGCCTGAAGAAATACTTAATTTCCTACAATACATTGCTGAATTGTGTGCGTGTGTGTTTTTTTTTTTGTAGGATTGTGACAAATGTCAGAGGTAAGTAGCTTTATTGGTTTATACGACACGTTCTGGTGCTGATAGTCTGTGACTATTCAGTGAGTCCATATCTTTCTTCTTTGTGATCTTTCCGTCTGCTAGAAAACAGAAGAACAGAGCTTTCTGCTACTTCTGTAACTCTGTGCAGAAGCTGCCGGTCTGCGCTCAGTGCGGTGAGTAGCCTGTAGTAAAATATTTTATCCTTATCTGATTGTTATTACTTTAACTTTCGGTTATGATCAGTGTGATTTTTGTGGAATTCCTTTCAAGTGTTTTTGAAGCCCTTAGCCTGTCTGTGGCCCTCACATCAAACCACATTCATTTTTAGGAAAGATTAACAGTTTATACACCAGCTATATATAATCCATCCATTATCTATACACCACTTAATCCTCAATAGGGTCGCGGGGGGCTGGAGTCTATCCCAGCTGATTTCGAGTGAAGGCAGGGGACACCCTGGACAGGTCGCTAGTCTTATCACAGGGCTACACTTAGAGACAGACAACCAAGCACACTCACATTCACACCTACGGACAATTTAGAATCACCAATTAACCTCAACAAAGATCCGGAGAACCTGGAGCGAACCCACGCTGCACAGGGAGAACAGGCAAACTCCACGCAGAAAGAACCCGGGTGTCCACACCGTGATGTGAACCGGGGATCTTTTAAAAGCAATGGTGCTAACCACTGAGCCACTGTGCAGTCCAGCGATATATAATCACTTTTCCAAAAGGTTATTTATTAACATCCAGTCACGGTTGTTTTTAGCAAATGTTACACAAACTGGAGTAAATAGTGTCTTTGTTTGGAACTCGGTATTCACAGCAGTGGACTGGTTACAGTGACCACGTTCATCGCACTGAGTTAACAGTACAGCAGTTTGGCTTGTTGTTGATGTTATTTCTTAGTTTTGGAACAACAGTGCAGGCCTGTTGCACAGATAGATCACATATGTTCATATGTCAGTGTAGAAGGTTAAGTTATAGTTGGTGCTGTTCTTTGCATGCAATTTGTTGACAGTAAGGAAAGTATATAATGTCACCAGAGTTATACTGTAAAGGTCCCATATTATTCCCCTTTTTAGCAAATTAATGAAATTGTCACATGTCCTAGAAAATGTCTTTCAATTTTTCAGCCCAAAATACTGTAAAGATGATTCATTTCTCTGTGACTGTGTAATCCCTGGTTTCAGTCCTATTCTAAACAGGCTGTTACAGTGTCTGTAGCTTTAAATGCAGCTGAGCTGCTGCTGTCCACACAGCCACTTCAGGAAGAAGACTCTCTCTGTGTCTGTGATTGTCAGTGTCAGTGAGCTGCATTTCAGTCTCTATAGAAATTATGTAAATAAAGTTGTTATTGGGAATTCAGCTGTATTAAAATGCACTATATGTGAGCGTAGGAGAGACGCAAACAGGTCTAAGTACCGACTGTTGAGGTTGCACTGAAGCACAGCAGATAACATGAAAATGTAACACATGTGGTCCCTTCACTTTTACATCTCCAGGTTTCTAACAAACACAATAAAAATGTGATCAGAAGGGGCCGTTAAAGAAAAAGTGTCAAATTTGGTATAGCAGACGTCATGATATATTGACTTTTTGGTCTAATGCAGGTCATTTCCCAAAGATGTTTAATCTTACACTTTTCATAGTGCATCCCACCTTAATCTTTACCCCTCCTGCCATATAAATGGTCTTGTCTTTCAATATCCAACCTGCCATTTAACATGCAGTCTTTCTGTGCTAAATTTTAAGACTCTCAGCTAAGCTAAGATAACTCCAAAGACATCAACATGACACTTTTAATGTTTATGTTTTAGGTAAAACCAAGTGCATGAAGTCATCAGACTGTGTCATCAAGCACCCGGGGGTCCACAGCACTGGAATGGCCATGGTGGTGAGTTCAAGACAACATTTAGGAACTGATACTCTGACATGGCAAGCAAAAGTTTTCACTTCTGTAATCCAACCCCGATGTTAAACCTTGATGGGGATGTTTCAGCAATATCTGAGCACACTTTAATAGAAAGTACTAGTATTTGAACAGAATGGTTTGTTTGTGTGGTTTTATTGTGTAATGTTTCTTTTTTTAATTTTATGCAGCAATTTCTCTAATGCACAAATAGTTTCTCCAGCAAAAGACAAATGACCTTGCGACAACAGACCACTTACAGTAGTTAGGATGGTAGTACTGTACAGTATCCTAGAGGTTTGGTAGATTTGGTGTGCACTTTCTCAGTAAGCAATGAACCAAAATCAAAGGAATAAGATTGAGGAAGCATTGTATGCAAACACCTACACTAATAAAATTGTAAAATTTGTTCCACAGTTAGGCATTAGTGTTCATAATAATGTGCGTAATGTTTTTACTCGTTATCACTCTCTGTCACATCCTTGTGGAAGTGTGACAGTGTTGTACAAGTACAATCTGAATGATTGACGCCCATTAGTGTGTGGAAGTAACGTACTGTCCCAGTAAAATATGATAAGGCTGTAGATGGTGTATATATGTAGTAATGCCTTAAACAATCTGGTTCAAGGTCCAGCTGATTTTGATGGTCATGCAATTTGCTTTCATGATGCAGCATGAATTTAAAAAGGTATACAAATGTTTAATTACCTGCAAGCTTCTTGATTTTTGTTCTTGTAATTCTCTGTTTCATCACAAGGGGGCAGTGTGTGACTTCTGTGAAGCCTGGGTGTGCCACGGTAGGAAATGTCTGAGCACTCACGCCTGTGCGTGTCCCCTGACTGATGCAGACTGCATTGAATGTGATCGCAGCGTCTGGGATCATGGTGAGCCCTCCATCTGTTTGATTAAAATTCACCCGGTCACCTCAGCGTGACACTGAAATTCACCACTGGCTGTTTTACCTTCCTGAATAGGAGGGCGAATCTTCCGCTGTTCCTTCTGTCAAAACTTCTTGTGTGAGGATGATCAGTTTGAGCACCAGGCAAGCTGCCAAGTACTTCAGGCAGAAACATTCAAATGTGAGTCATTCAGTTTTCCTTTCACATTGTCATTCAATGAAGTTAATGGAGAAAGTAAAGTGTAAGTTACTCATTCTGGAGAATAATATCCAGAGGGTATGTGTGCAGTTAAGAGAAAGTTAATGTTTACAGTTTGTTCTGCCTTTTCTCACGTTGCGTTTTAGGCGTTTCCTGTAATAGACTGGGACAACACTCCTGCCTGCGCTGTAAGGTGAGGGAACATCTGTCCTCACCTCTGGAGAAAACTGAGCAGAAATCCAACTGTGTCAAAAGCTTTACTCACGTTTATCTGCTCTCTGGGCAGCACGACTTAGCAGCTCATGTAGAACTACACCCATCCTGTCAGCTCACTTCACTAATTGTTTTTTCAACAAATAACAATAACCCACATCTCCTGACTCATAAGACAGAACCAACAGAGATTTGATTTGTTTGGTTTTGCTTTTCACTCGCCAATAACAGGAAGTATTCTTGGTATACAGGAATGTTGTAACTGAAACTAAGCAGCAACAAGAGAGCGCACCAATCAGATACAACTGGACATGCTGAAGTGGCTACCAGGGGATATGTATTTCTATTTCTTCCTTTAGTGGGTCAGAGAAGCTGCTTCGTGACATCTGTTACATGATCTCTGAACTGGTAAAAATAAGCTGGTTACGTCATTGGCATTTAAGGGTTAGTAGTACTATGGTCATCACACTGCACCATCACAAGAGCACATGAGGTTGAATTATGAAGCAGCATGTACATTTTCTGATAAACCACATTTTGTCAGTGGTTGAGTCTGTATTTTTGACCTTAAAATGTACATAGCAACAAGTGAAACATGCAGAAGAATACAATAAATAAAATGATAAGTATTTAATAAGTAATGAAATAAAATGTAAGTGCAAACTGCTACCAATAGGAAAGAGCCAACTGTTCAGAATAAATTAATAAGCATTTCAACCAACAAGACGGATACAGTAACTGTGATAACAGAAGCGTTCATAGAAGAAGCAGATGGAAATTTAAAGAAACGATAAACACAAGTGGAATCAACCGAAGCAAAAAAACAGACACCCACTGTTTTATCTGTACAGTGGTAAGTGTACACAATTGGTGTGCATTTGTTTAGGTATATCTTTAGGCTGTCACTGTCTTGAAACCACACTCACTCCCTTCTTAACACTGTAAATAATGAACAGAACCCACAGTCAGGTTCTGTGGAAAGCTGGAACTAACATGAGGCCTTTGCAGTCTGACTTAGACAAACCAAGTGGATACTTTCTGCTGGTTTCCTGATGGCAACCAACCTCCACATGACAACGAAGAAGTGTCCCTACAGCTTCTGAACCCCTTTACAAAACAGTTGCTGTGTCCCAAATACATCCACACTGACTCAGCAGCTTTACAGTATGTCGTGTGTTCACTAGGAAAGTGAACCAGACCCAACCAGACAGTATACACAGTAAGCACAGTTTATGCTTGAGTATGCTGCTGATGAACGTCTCCTGTACTGCAATACACAAAGTTGCTCACAGAAAACAAAAGATAGAAATTTAACCATTGGTTTGCTAATTAATGCTGATATTTTGTATGCTGCAGTATTCTATGATTACTATGAAGTACAAATTGAACTTAATCATCAGTTTTTGCAGAGAATTTATCCCTCTAACTGTGGATGTTAGGAGAAGGAATGACTATGACATGCTTCTAAGTTTTCTAGGAAAACCTTGTTGAATAGCTCACAATGTTTACATCAGTACTGCCTTTACAGAAACGTGGCAGTGAGCTACTGTCTTCTCAGCATATTTTCTGAACAAAAATGACTTCTAGAGTTGGAGTAGTCTGCCACTTTTATTAATATGTTGAAGATATGCTGTAAAAATTAACATTCTACCTCATTTTTAATTTTTGCCCCCACTAAGCAGTTTCTTGGCATTTTTTGGTCCCATCTCAGTTTTACTCACTGTGGCCTCATTTTTCACTGCAATATAAAGTCCTGCACCTCTATGAAATCAGCTCAACCATGACTAGAAGTAGAGAGAACTAGAAAAAAAAACCTTTTTTTTTCTTCAGTATAACAAAGTTATCATGCTATAAATCATCAAAAAGAAGAATAAGTTGAATTCCTTTGATTGTTCATTTTACAAAGATGGACACGTACAACATTTTTCCAAGTGTCCAGGTGTTACCTATACTGGAAAGAACACCAAGAGGCTCTACATATTGTATATATATTTTTTACTGCTTGATTTTCAATGGGTTTCCATACTTGTATCCTGTCAGCCAAACAGTCCCAGAATTGTAGTGGTATGACTCACAGTCACAGCCGAGTAACTAATAGCTTCACAGTTGTGCCAAGGAGTGCAGAATTGTGTTTAATTTGTTGTTGTTTTCAAAATCTGATTAGTGCAAAAAAAAAAAAGTTCAACAAATGTTTAATGAAAACATATAGAATAGTGATTTTGATTGTTTTCCGACAGAACATCACGTTCTACACAAGTAGTTCAAGGACCATCAGAAAGTGGACAATTTGTTGTTTTTACTCTTTCTGGCTCCGATAAATGGTGTAAGTTTGCCCATTTTTTAAAAAAAAGATGACATGTCTTTTCAAACCCACTGGTGGGTTTTGGTGTTCAGAGGGTAAAAATGCTCAATCATATAGGATGTGAAAGTACTTGGATTCCCTCCATCTAATCTTCTGTTACTGTTTCTGTTGGTTGCCCCAAAACGTCACTGGGTCCTTCTGCTTTCTTTATATCCTCGCCAAAGAGCATTAATCTCTAAAACTCAGCCTCGTACACTTTAAAGTACTGCACTCAGCTTATCTTTCCAAATCTTGGCTTTCAGGAATATATCCAGATGTCAAAGATAAATGTAGCAAATGTCATGATTTCACCTGCAATCTAAGTCCTGTGTTTAACTCCTGTGATTGTCCAGAACTACATACCCATTAGAATATGTTTCCTAAAACTCTGTTTTCAGTACTCAGTCTATGTCTCCCTAATGAAAAATGAGCTCTTATCTCTAAATAAAAACAAATGCTTGCATTCACATCTCTCACAGTCACGCGTATTTATACATCTGAACTCTGCCAAGAATTCTTCTATTTCCTAATTACCAAAAAATGTCCTGTTATTCTCAAACGTTAGAGATGAAGTGTACACAGAGGCTCATAGGAGAAAACGTTTAATATATGCCTGTTATAGCACATTGTAACATTTAAAACCATTTTCCCTCCAATTATTCCCAGTATGTACCTGCTTACTTTTCTATGGTTCTTTTCTTTTCTTTTCTTTTCTTTTCTTTTCTTTTCTTTTCTTGTCTTGTCGAGCCCCCAAATAGGGGCAGTTAGGTGAAAGTGTGTTTGTGTGGGGCAGGGAGGGGTGGGAGGCTTGTAACGTAAAGATTAGTAATTGTATTGTAATACAATAGTTGTAGTTTTGTTCATAATTTGCATAGTTATTTTTTTGTCTCCCTCATAGGAAGAATTTTTGAAAAGAAATGGCACAACTGTTAAGTAAATTGTGAACCAACCTGTATAAAAAAACAGTTTAACTGTCAACTTTGTAAGCTCGACATAAAATGTTACAGGAGAACAAAAGCAAGGCATGTGAGGCGTTTTGCAGGTGTGAGCAGAGACAAGGAAGATGAAAATAGGTTTCTTTATATTGATCTGGATGAATGAGCTTACTTGTCCAAACATTCTTGTATGTCAAAGAGGCCAAAAACTGTGCATGAAAGTCGTGCTTGTGCAGCAGAATTTCCATGTGACGATTTTAATATCAATGCCACTGTGTCCCTGCAGGCTTGTTACTGTGACGACCACGCCAAGAGTAAGGTCTTCAAGCAGGAGAAAGGCAAAGCTCCACCGTGTCCTAAGTGTGGCCACGAGACGCAGGAGACCAAAGACCTCAGCATGTCCAGTGAGTCTCAGTCAAACCTTGGGAAGAGTGACAGTTGTTTTTGTTCCTGTAAAGCTGCTATTTAGAGGAAGTCAGAGCAGTCTCGACTTCGAAACAGAAAGAGTGTGTGTCGTTTATTGACGTTGGTCTCATTTCACCATTTACTCACAGTATGTTGTAATACTGATACGCTTTTCTACATATTTGTAAACCAAAAGAAACACATTTGACCCAGTGGCACTACACAAAATGCTGCAGTATACCAGGTAACCAAAGTGTCATGTAACTGATGCATTTAGTCTTTGACCTGGGAATCTGCGCCACAGTTATTTATACACACTGAAAGGTGCAAAATATCAGAGCTGCCTGCCACACTAACCTCTTCTAAATGTACTGCTGTCATGTGACCTATCGATAGGGATTTGGATGCATTTGATCGTGAGACAACATTTAGGTTGAAAATAAGTCTGACAAAAGCTTCACAATATTCACTTTTTTTATGTTGTTACAAAAACAAGAAATAAAGCTAAATTGCTGTCTGATTGCATATGAAAGGATCATTAAAATATTATCTATGGCTAGCTGCTCCTTGGTGGTTATATGTAGTGAAACCAAATTCCTATCATCCAAAGCAGAAAGATGTTGTATTCAAACTTATTTGTTTTTTCTGTTTCGATCGTTTGATAAACCAGTATTTTAACGGTCATTGTGACAGCGGTTGTGTTTTTCTGTGTTTCAAAGTAATAATAATGATAATAATGAAATAAATTGCAATTGATCTAAAACACATTCACATGATTGTGACTCATCGTGTCATTAAGTGGAACCAGAGCTAATGTCACATCTGTGTTTTCTGTGCAGCTCGCACCTTGAAGTTCGGCCGCCAGGCTGGTGCTGATGACGACGATTACGACGACGGAGCGTCGGGGTACGATGCCTACTGGAAAAACTTGGCGTCCGGAGGAAGAGACCGACAAGACGACTATGGAGAGGATGATGACTACGAAGAAGACGAGGACGAGGAGGATGATGACGAAGAGGACGAAGAAGATGAGGAGGAGGAGGACGAAGAAGAGGGCGAAGAGGAAACGGCTTCTGAGTCCATGGCTGGTCTGAAATTGGATGGGACTGCTGCCTGAGTAAGGCAGAGACTGAAGGCAGGTGGAGCCCAGTCCTATAAATCCAAATGATCCTCGGTGGACGTTCACCTGTTGAAATTCAGGAATGAATAGAAGCTTCCATTTAAAATGAAAAATGAAACATACATGTGAAATGAAAACTCCCCCAAGAATTTATACGGTCTAACTTGGACTGAGATCCACGTTTCTGTCCAAATTAACTTTCGATATCTTACCCTGAGGAATATAATTGTGCTTTTCTACAACACCCACACAAGCAGTAGCACAGGGACTTAGAGAATTTAATAACAGGATAAATTAATGGTTTAAATTTATATCAGTAGTTGAGAAAAAAAAAAAAGAAGATTGTGAATCTAACTGCGTTGGTGCTTTGACACTAATTGCTCTGGATACGCTGCAGTTGATACCAAAATACTACTAAGGTTTCAATGCACCATCTCGGAGACCAAATATTTTCTCCTCCTGTTATATTCAGTGCTGGATTCAGGTACATGGGGGTCCTGTAAAACCATTGTGACTGCTTGTGGTGGGGATTTTGTAAACGCGGTTTTATGAACAGGTAAATTTTGCTGGGATGCAAGACGACATCTGCATCATCATCAGTATCAGCGTTAAAATCAAATATCGGCATCAACACAAAATGATCTTCGACACGTAAATAACAACTGTCAGGTTAAAAGTGTTTGAAAATGTGACATCAAAATAAATATAACACATCAAATGTAAGTTGAAGTTGTAGTTTTCTTGTTTTGCTCAGTGGATGTGTACATTTTGTATTTTATGTCTGCACTTGACAGCGAGCCTAAAGATGTCCTGTTTTTTCTCAAACGTCAGAGATGAAGTATACACAGAGGCTCATGGGAGAGAACGTTTAATATATGCCTGTTATAACACATTTGAACATTTGAAACCATTTTCCCTCCAATTATCCCCAGTATGTACCTGCTTATCTTTCTATGGTTGTTTACTTGATTGATTTTTCTTTTCTTATCGTCTTCACTGCACTCTTCAGTGAGCCATCACAGTCAGAGTCCATTATTAATGGGACTGCAGGAGACCCTGAATGTTCTCTGCAATTAGGTGGAAAAAATATGAGCATATATTACGCTCTGCATCATTGGCAGTTGGCCAAAAATATTGTTGTATTGACTTTCCTAGAATTTTGACACAGCTCCAAATACAAGTGTGTTCATGTAACAATTATGGGAGTCTTTACATTTTGACTGAATTATTTCAGCTTTGCTTCTACTACGACTACTGTTTCTGACTATTCCCATCATAATGAAAGTGTTTACCTGTAGGTTACAAGGTGAACAACTTCCTGATTTGCAGACAAACATACAGCATTTAACTGTCACCAGATCTCCTCACTTCCCTCAGTCAATGAGAACTTTTGCAAAATCAAAAATCTTCAATGTTGCATTAAGCAGCTCCATATTTGCTACATTTCTCCATAACAGAGTCAGAATCAGTTAATTTACATAAAGTGCAAATAATTTAATACATTTTGCAAAGCTGCTCTTCTTTGGTAGCCTCATGCTTTCCAGCCTGTGGAGCCCTGCAAGTCCAGAAAACCTCCAGTGATGAGTAAATTATTTGAAATGTGTAATAAATTACTCATTGCACATTATTCCACAAATGACTCAGCAGTACTGGATATGTGGTACATTACATCATTAGCCTCATGGCATAATTGCTCAAGTCATGTTTTGGCCAAATTGTGGTACTTGCCTAACTCTCCTAACACTGCTGCGTCATCCTGATTTTTTGCCTAAGTCCTCAGCCTATCAGAACACTTGTCACAGTCCAAAGTCACTACCTGCCTTAGTCGTTTCTTTGACTTATGCATTTTTTCAACATACAAAGATGGTGGACACCATGAGAAAGAGCGCTCTGCTGACCACAAATGAAGCATATTTCTTTGATTCAACTGGTAAGCTAGTTCATATTTCTTCAACTTTCTGTACAGTAAATGTACTTTCAGTCAATCATAGGGATAAGGAACTGCGGGTTTAAACTTTTAATCATATTCTTGTTCTGTGCTTATTTAACTGGTACACGATGACCTTGAATAATAACACTGGGTTACAAAAAAGATTTTTTTGAAGGTGTCCAGGATTTTTTTTAAACTGATTTAGGACATTTGTGCAACACTGAATCCAAAAACGACATCTGCTTTTCTGTATTAGGTCAGGTTTTTATGCCAACCCGATTTTAAAAAATCAATTTTGCCACTAAATCGATTACATTTTTTGACATTAGTGATTAATTTATTTGAGTATTTCTCATATGAAATCGGATTTTAGAGGAAAAATTTTCTGATCCTTTCCATAAGCTAAATGATCCAAAAGTTGATGAGCGTAAACATC